AAGCTCCAAAAGGTGACAAGTTTCCTTTTCTAACTTGGATTTTCCTCTTTTCTTCTGCATTTCCAGTCTGCCCCTTCTACTATTCTGCCCCCTTCTGATGAAGGCTTTAAGCTATCCCATTTTCTATTCTTTCTCCTCTCTCCAACCCCTAATAAGCTTCATCTGTTTTCTCTGTTTCAATTATTCTTTTTAAATACATACGTATGTACACATCATCATCTGAGCTATCTGTAGGGGAAACCAAGTCAGGGAAACAAGTGAGGTCACACAGGTGAAAATGAGGAGAATGTGTGAGTGGAGGGTTCCAGCCTATTACTGTAACAAAACTCTTTCCATCTGTCGTCTGAGGAAGATGACATGTAGCACACGAAATCACAAAGAACACATTTTATCTGTAATGACCTCTATTAATAATGTGAAGCACACAAAGTTTGAGTGGAGCCCAAGGAATATTCAACTTAATCCTTTGGATAAAGGTAGACTCAATGGCCCATCAGATCTTCCTAGTTCAATATGGTTAGTCCTAACAGTACCTACAAGAAAAGACCTGGTGAAGACATTTAGAAAACATACAGTACAGTTCCATTTCCACATGGCCAAGAAGTCTCTCAGAAAAGTGCACAAAGATATATTTTTATATGCACAGTAATACCAAAATGCAGATTATCACAGCTTGGAAATTTTACTTTTTCAGCTATAATTATAAAGAATTCCCTAGCCAGCATGACAAGTAACAGTCATGCAGCTAGCTTTAGAGATGACCCGTTCGTGAATATGTGACTCACACCCTTTGTCATACTGGTCCTATGTCATGTTTGACAAGACCCTTGTGCCCCCCTTTCATTGGTGTGGTGGTCTCCCTTCCACTTTCCTAATTCTAAGAGTGGCAGATGAGCACTCCACTAGGCGATTCTAGACAGTGTGTTCTGATGATGATGTCCACTATTCCGGTTCCCCTACAGCCTCTGGGGTCTTGATGCAGCACCATTCTGTAGCTGCTGTGGAATCATTAATAGGGCATGTAACCGACACAGCTGTTGAGGTTGCCATGGTGGTCAACCACAGGCTTCCATGTACCAGAGGAGTTATAGATTTTATTTTAATGGCAGAGGATCAGGTTCTCTTAGAAATTGTATAGCAGTGCCAAACCATAATGCTGAGCCTGATATTACTGTTTAAATAAGTGAACATGACTACATAAAAATGTGACCTGTTTATTGTAAATGAGAAGCATTCATAACAGTGCAAACAATTCTTTGGTAGATTTATTTAGTACAATAAAAAATAACTAAGATTTCACTTCTGGTAGAAGGTTTTTTTTAAAGTAAATAAATATGGAACAATCTCAACTGAAGAAATACTGAGAAAATTATCATTCAGCCATGGGCCACTGTCTCAAAATGTTACACAAACTTTTAATCATCAGGAAAGGTAAAAAAAGAATTGTACAATGTTTGATTTCTTTGAAAACTTTAAAATAAGACCTATTTCCTAATCCAGGTGTTTAATAGCAATAAATGCTGAAATTTATTTCATTTTACATATCTTTTATGTATTTAACAAATACTGTACTGATCAGATATCTGCTTTACTTCAACAAGGGAAACCAGAGGTATATTTGGTTAATGCATAAATGGAAATTATATTCTTAAAAGATGAGATTGCAATCCCATATCCACTTATTTGGCAGTAAAGACCACTGAACTCTGTGGGACTTACTTCTGAGTAGATGTGAATAAGACTGTGCTGCAAAATACCTGAGCAAATTACTTTGCAACAATACAGCATTGGAAGTAAAAGGTGATTACATGCTTTTAAAAAACGTCAGCTGGTTTCATAAAGCCAGCAATATGGCATAATCATAATATCTACCCTCATTTCACAATCTGTCTGAAAACAAATCTGAGATCTGCATTTTCAGTAAAACAAACATAAAAAGGTTGACCCTGATCTCATTTATGATACTGAAAATATGCACTTTTCTGCAAAGGAACAAAGCTTTATATATATATAATTCTCTGCACATGTATACTTGGATGCAAATCCTTCTGTGTTCAATCCCTTCCAAGTAAATGTATTTAGAATTGTACCTCTGAATGTTCCTTAAAATGAGAAATATCATATCTTCTATCTCATCTTAACAAATTTTGCATAATGCTACCACTTACAAGTAACTGATGCTATCTCCACCAAACAAGTTCCTTGGTTAATTTATCAGTTTGAAAGGTATACTGTATGACATTTATCACATGAAAAATGATTAAATGCTCACCTGGGTTAGCATACAAATTAAGTACATAATTTGAAAATATATTGGCTGTTTGAATATAATGTGATTTTTTAAAAAAAAATCTGCTTTACAAATCTTAATGATAAAACCCAGTGACTTCAGCTGTAATTCTGCAAAAATTGAAATTGAGTTGAGACTGGGCTTTAAGGAACACCCCATAATTCATAAATTTAAGACTTGCTTTATGAGATATGCACCATCAACAAAACAAAAGATGTCGGTGAAATGAGGTAAGCGTGTTTTCCTTCACTGATTGTAATAATACATGCTGGTTATAAGAGACAATATTGGAGGTACAAAAGAAAACAATGGCAAATAAATGTAGACATATTCGACAGTGCATTCAAAAAAAAATCTTAACTGGGCATACAGATTCACAAATAGTAATTTTAACATGATGTTGGAATAAGGATGGGAGGCTGATACTACTTCAAAAACAAAACAAGACAAAAACCCTGAAAAATGAAACTAGTAATGTGTTTGTTTTCAACAGAATAGCTACTCCCTGTTTGGTAGCTTATTTCTATCTGATGGATTCATTACAAATCATGCCACAGTACAGCTAGGAATGCTTCTACAGCAACAACTTATAAATCAGCAGACATAATTCTGTGTTCATCTACTCCCCAACTGCCCATTTATTTTTAAGATGGCTAAGGGGCCTTAGCAGAACTTAAGGAGCAATTCCTTTTACACCCACCATTAGCATATGGCAATGGTTTTCATTTTCATGGGTGCAAGACAACATACACAGTACCTTATGCACCAGCCCAGCAAGAGATATACACACACACTGTACCAGGAGAAATAAGTTGCCATTGTGCCACCAAGAGGTGCAGAAATAATATTCCTTTAACAACTCTTTTAACGATACAAATTTAACTAAATAATTCCGCCACCATCCTTTTCCTTTTGTCAAGAAAAGCTCTACCCTTAGACAAGCGGCTGTTAAAGGCAAAGGATCCCTGCTGTTAAAAACAGAGGTGTGACCTGAAACAGACTTAGATCTTGTTCTCGAAACATGGGCCATTGAGACATAATCTACGACCAAGATGTTTGCTAAACTAGGCTCTGAGAGGTTATCAGGCGCATACTGAAAATGAATATGCACTTAAGCTTTTGCACATACATTCTGCCAAAAAAGGTGCCTGGAGTAGTAATACTGATTTCGAAACCAACATAAAGACTGCATTTGTTTCTAAAGGAAGTGAGACATCTCTCCATAATCTATTTTAATAACAGTTTGATTTAATCTTGTGTTCCCTCATATTAGGGACATGGTGGCGCTGCAGGTTAAACCACAGAAGCCTCTGTGCTGCAGGGTCAGAAGACCAAGCAGTCGTAAGATTGAATCCACACGACAGAGTGAGCTCCCATCGCTTGTCCCAGCTCCTGCCAACCTAGCAGTTCGAAAGCATGTAAATGTGAGTAGATAAATAGGTACCGCCCCAGTGGGAAGGTAACGGCATTCCGTGTCTGCTTGCGCTGGCCACGTGACCATGGAAACTGTCTATGGACAAATGCTGGCTCTGCAGCTTGGAGACAGGGATGAGCACCGCACCCTAGAGTCAGACACGACTGGACTAAATGTCAAGGGGAACCTTTACCTTCCCTCTAATTGCAGAAAGTGTAAAGAAAACCTGCTTTTCCCATCCATACATGAGGCTTGTGTGTGCATACAAGGTCAAAAATTGTGTAAGAAGCAAATGATATCTTCTATGATATATACACAATCTTTATCGTGTATAAACATCCAGACGCAGTAGCAATGCACTTAAATCTGGACATGGGTGGCTATGCACTTACAATAATACCTATGTGCCCACTGAAATTACTAGATTGTTCGTTATCTTGCAGGGAAAGCCAAGTAGTAGCAAAGCTGGGAGCCTACATTTTCTCTTGCTTATTCAGTGACTGCAGAAAAATAGATGGCAAGTGTAAACAGTGGTGAAATAAAGGCAGTGATTATAATTATGAGAAGCAGACTTGATTTGTGCCAGGAATCATCCACTACTGTTTAGTTCTCACATCCATTTGCAACTGCAGGTTCAGCCTTGTTGACTACACACAGTGAAGAGGATGAAAGTACCGCTGAGTAGGTGAGAATAATTGCAGCAGGGTGGATAGTGTATGTTGCTGGACTGCAACTTCCATCAAATCTCACTACTGGATGTCTTGGGTTGACATGACAGGAACTACATGGGGGAAAAACATCTGGAAGGGACCACAAGCTGCTCACCACTGATTTTGCTAAGACTCTTCATGCATTGAGAATTTGGAGGAGACGGCTGAATTTCCTGACAGTCTCAGCTATTAGCATCTGATACTCTTTATGTTAAGCTCACATGAGGAATAGCTCACTGGTCCCACTTCAGAGGGTCCTCTGGTTTGCTGTGGCGGAAACAGGGAACATTACTTCCATCTGCTTACAAAGGAGATGGGGAGATTTTCTGTAAGGCTTAATACAAACAAGATTTTCTCTACTGTAGGGGAAATGGATCAAATGCGACAGGAAAGGTCCAGAAAAATCATAGCTGTTTATGGGTTGGGCAAAAACTTTACAACTATCAAGGCAGTTGTTTAGTGGGATAAGAACTATTTCTGCCCCTTTATATGCACGTGGCGGACAATAGGCATGTGTGTATGTTTTTCAAATGTCCTTTTGCATAAGTATGTAGGCTTGTGCATTAGATACTTTATTGTCTTTTACTATTACAATCTATATATGTAACAAGACTCGGAGGGGTATTAAATTTAGACATATGACTTTTCCCCACCTAATAAGATAATATTATGCAATAACACAGGGCAATTGGGGGAAGCATAAAGACATCCAATACTGGCAGAACGGTGGAAGGAACCTATACCAAAACAAAGCTTCTCAAGTCTCAACATCCTCTCAAAATGGTCACTGCGCATAGGAAGTATTATGTGAATGTCATCTAATCAGAATGGCATCACACCACAACTACTGTAGCTGCCTTAGTTGAATACTAGTCTCAGGAATGTCTTACACCAACCAGCTCCATCAAGGTATGATGGAATGCCAAGCTATACATCCAAGGGTAAGACAATACGTTTTATACTGCAAAAAAGGCAAGCTGCCGGCCTCTTTTTATCCAATTCAGTGGCACCTCATTTCCTTCCACCAGTGTATGAAAAGACAAAAAGCAAACACCCAAGACTGGGACTATAAAACCACTTGATAGAGGGGTTTTTTTTCCAAAAAAGTAGCACCAGTTTTCAGTTTATTTGACCTGAGAAAATGTAACACAAAATTGTCATGACCTGTATTGCGTATTCCCTTTCAATATTTTTACACTGTGGACTTAAAAAAAAAGTGGGCAAGAAGTAAAATTACATATTTTCTTACTCTGTAACACCATCACTTGAATGCTGTCCTGTAATGTCTTCCTTCTCTGTTGTGGTTTTAAGCCTACTATTACCTGGATTTGCCATCAGCTGATATCCGTACAACTTGATATGTGACCATTGCAAAGCAGATTTTAGGGTTTATTTTGCTTGCTAATAGTTTGTTTTAAGCAGACAGGACAGCAAACTCCTTGGAGCTTCACAGGCGTAGCACAATCATTTGGTGGACATGACTCCACATAACATGTTATCTGACCAACCTGCATTTGAAAAATTATAGCACAATTTTAGCATGTAGGTACTTGCTCAACAAAGAGATTTAAGATTTGCATTATTTAGCAACTTGCCCATATAACCAATATTACTGACCTTACTCACAGACAGTACTCACTGACTATTATATACTACAATTCTGAACCCACATATATTAACATGATCAGTTACCTACTGCAACAAAATCAATGGGGTGTGGGTTTTTTTTGCTTCAGACCTATAGGGAGGAATTTCTCTGTAACTCACAGATGTGTCCATATAATCACAGATTAGGAGACACCTCCTTTAGCTCAATGGACACAGCAGACAGGAAGCTACCATGGTCACCGAAATTCTCCGTATGTACAAAATTCTAGAGATCACAATTAACAACTACTTTAGCCTCAAGACTCATTAAAACACATTTCTGAAAGCACGCAGTCTGCCACCTGAATGAGATGTGGATTACAGAGTTTTATTCTGTAATTTGCCTAATTTATTTTGCTCTTACGGTCACAGGAAGGGCCAAAAGACATACTGGGCACTGAAACCATGTCCCCTGAACTGCCATAAATTCAACCAAACCTGGGGCTTTCATAATACGTGCCAATCAATTTTAGGCTAGCAGAAACATTACTGGCTTTCTTCTACATTTTCAATACCTATTCAAATCAAGCTACATGAATTATGCAATATTTTGTGTGACCAAGATTTAGGTGCTAGATATGACACCTGTATAAAGAAGACAATGAAAATTCTGTAACCAGTAGAAACACTGCTTGTGGAATTACACCATTGACAAAAATGATACAACACATTAGCAAGCACTGCTGAAACACTTTCAAGCTTATCATCAGAGTCATCAGGGCTAAAAGAAGTACTCTCTTTTTTAAAACGAAGAAGAAAAAGTTAAGATTCTCAAGAAGCCTCTAATGAAGAAGCAAGACAATAAGATGAGCAGAAGTTAGCCTTTTTGACAGTAAAAATAGCTGAGGTCAAAACAGCAAGCAAAACAAAGCTCTGCTTGTTAGTATCCTTAATTCCTACGTTTGTGTCCAAGACTAAGTACAAAAACTAGGATACTAGTGGCATAAACTGCAAATAGAAAGATGTATTCAAACCATACACTGCAAGATCAGAACAAGGATGCAATTCTATGCACATTTTACCTGCAGATAAGACTCCACTGAACAGAATGGAATATATATATTAAAATATGCACAGTACTGTACAGAATGGGATACATATTCTAAATACATAGTTTGTTAAACTTTGAAAATGAATGTTCTGGCCCCTCACCTTGCATTCACATACGGTGCATGGATCTTTTTTCCAAGTTTCATTACTGGAATAAGATTTACCAGTTTCGTCAGTGCACTCAGTTCTACTGAGCCGTGATTCAAGTTTCTTTATCTGAAGATATAAAAAAACTTTTTTATCTTTCTGTGCCAAAAGGATTCTATTCTTTTTTTTTTTTTTTTTTTTTTTTGCATAGGATCCAGCAGTATGACAGAAATGTATTCCTTTATGGACTCTTTTTTTTTTTTTTTTTGTTTTTGTTTTGCATAGGACCCAGCAGTATGAGAGAAATATATTCCTTTAAGGACTCAGATTATATCAAGCTACTGAGCAATTATATATCTGCATATTCAAATGTTGCACTGCTAAAATAATAGGACAGCACTGTAAATATTTAAACCTTGTCTCTAGTAGAGGGGAAACACTGCATACGGCAATCTGTTGCTTGGTCCAAGTGATTTACATCAAGATTGTTACCCACAGTTACCCAGCACTACAATATCTACTGGCTTTCTAAAATCTATGTACTGGGCCCCAAGAAATTTGGTACTGGTTACTAGCTTAGTTCCTGTTAGGTTTATGGGCTGCTCTCAATTTCTACTTCCATCAGCCACATTTGAAATCTCCATCATGTTTTTGTGAGAGGTTCTTAGTATTTTTGCATGCATTTGTTCTACTGAAATGCAGCACCAAGTGACTGGCAATATGTTCAGACCACTGGCAGGTATTTTTGTGTTATATAGAAGCTGGTATCTGAAATAATCAGTAAAAGTCTGATTTCAACAGATCATTTCCATGAACAGAGTGGCATACGATGTAGCAGGTATTTCTACCAATGGAACAATTTTCACCTCTTCTGTTTTCTGCAATCTTAGTGCCATGTTCTACACTGATCTGGGAGGTCAACCTATTGTCTAGAGCAGATTTTCGGAGGCAAAAGAAAGAAGGGTAATTGATAACAATTACAACAACCTTCCATTAGTGAAGTAAAAACATATTCTATGCCATACAGTCTATTATGAACCTTTTATATTCACCTGTTTTCTGAGGTCTGTAATGGTTTTCTGCATGTCTCCAACAAATTCTTTGAAGTCATTCATTATGGGAGCTTTCTTGCGCTCATCAAGAGATGAAATGGTGCTATTAAAAAGTGCATTTTCCCTTGCAAAACTGTAAGAACAAATGAAAGTAATCAGTCTGTGGAGGAAGCAAGGCCGTCAATTGTTTTTAAATTGTTTTATATTTAAATAAGCATTGTTCACTATGCCTAATGAACATGGCCAGTGTACTGAATGGACTTCATAACCTAACTTGCTCAGAGTTAGAAACATAAAGTAGTTCAGCCTTAACAAAGTGGCCATATACAACTGAGAGCTAGTGGGATTTAATTGGCAGACTGCTGGATTACTCTACCATGTAATTGTCCTTTCACTAGTTATTACTCAAGCCAAGCCTGCCTCATAGGGCTGCTGGCAGATCCTGCTCTCCTCTGCCCTTGTGAGGAAACCTACATAAAGTATGTACCCCAGCACTACGTAAGCTATGTGTGGGCACAATGTGTTCTGACTGCTATCTTCAGAAAACAATAAATAATATTTAAACAAAAATTAGTTAAGAAAACAGAAAGAAATGAAAAGGTTCAGTTAATAGGTTAAATTATTTATTTATTGGGTATAGAAATCCAAGAAATAAATAAAAAACTCAGAATGATGTTCAGTCTGTCAGATTCTTTATCATATAGGTTCCACTTCTTTATAATTTAAATGTATTCATTCTTTTATATATACAATATGGATACTTGTCTCGACACAGGTTCGAAGAAGACCATAGTATTATTTAAGGCTTCTTCACAAAACTGACCTCTCTAATGATCAGCATCAACTCTAACTAACACACAGCTCTTACTTAGATGGATTTAAGTATTTAACTCATAATTCACACAAAGCTCTTACTGCCTCTTTCTCTTATACACTCCTAACCTTTATATACAAAACAATATCTCTCCAGCCAATAATCATACCAATAAATCAGTTCATAGTTTCATTCATTATATACCTCTCAACTGTTTTAACTGGCAGTCCTTGCACACAATCAACTGATAACTGTCAATCAAACCTCAATCACTTATCATGTATGCAGATTCACAGTACGGTATGCACAAAATATATTTACAGTATAAAATCCCCACACATTAACTAAAGATGCATTGGTTCAATCCTTTTGGTGTAACTTACATGTGTAACCCAGATGACATAGCGAAGTGTGCACTCTCTGGGCAGTTAACAATTTTATTATGCAGGCTACACATTTACCACTACCACCCCACATGTTGGGCATTCAATTTACTGACCTCAGAAGGATGAAAGGCTGAGTCAACCTTGATCTGGCTATCTGAGCCCATCAGAATCAAATTCAGATTGTGAACAGAGTCTTGGCTGAAGTAATGCAGTTTAACCACTGTGCTAAAAGGCTCCTAAGTCATTTGACAAAAGGAATATTTAATTTAAATTAATTGAAAGCTTCTTGTTCTCCTCCCTTTCAGTTTCTGAGGCTCCCTGGGGTTTCCTTTTGTTCTGGGGAAGCTTTTGGGAACCTCGAGACAGGGGAGGAGTGGCAATCACTGCTAGCGGCCCCAGCGACAGAATCTGGTGGTGATTTTTGTCTATTAAAGCAATGGTCCCCAACCTTCTCTGACCCATGGAGCAGTTGGGGGGCAGGGTCCATGCATAGGGGGGAGCCCTTGCACTTGAGGGGGCGGCAGGTGGGCAGGCCGTGTATGCTGGGGGTGTGGGAGATCTGTCAGGGGAGGAGTGGCAATCACTGCTAGCGGCCCCAGCGACAGAATCTGGTGGTGATTTTTGTCTATTAAAGCAATGGTCCCCAACCTTCTCTGACCCATGGAGCAGTTGGGGGGCAGGGTCCATGCATAGGGGGGAGCCCTTGCACTTGAGGGGGCGGCAGGTGGGCAGGCCGTGTATGCTGGGGGTGTGGGAGATCTGTCACTGCAGCCTACCTTCTCTGACCCATGGAGCAGTTGGGGGCAGGGTCCATGCATAGGGGGAAGCCCTTGCACTTGAGGGGGTGGCAGGTGGGCAGGCCGTGTATGCTGCGGGTGTGGGAGATTTGTCTCTGCAGCCTGGTCCTGCCAAGGCCTGGCACCGGGCCATGGATCGGGGGTTGGGGACCCCTGTATTAAAGACTCTATCCCCCTTGAGCTGTAGGCACCCAAAGGTTTTGCTGGGGCAAAAAAAGAGCCTCAGAACCTTAAATGGGGCATGGATATAAATTGTTCAGATAATTTAACGTATATAAAGTGGTGCCCCGCAAGACGAATGTAATTCGTTCCGCGAGAATCGCTATCTTTTGAAAAAATCATCTTGTGAAGTTCCCTATGGGAACCTCGCAAGGCGAATAAAATTTATTCGTCTTGCGAGGCACCGGTCTCGGGGGGGGGGAATCCATCTTGCGAAGCATTGTCATAGAAGAAACCATCTGGCGAGGCACCATAGCGATTGCAAAAACCAATTGTCCTGAGGGTTTTTCATCCCATGAGGCAATAGTCTTGCGAGGCACCACTGTATTCTCTTTGCCTGATAATGAATCCATCCTACTTGTGCATTGTAAAGTTGCACAAGAGGATTTACGCCACTTTTTATGTATGGCCTAAATCCTCTTGTGGCGACACTGTTCTCATTTGTGAGTGATCAGTTCCTAAAATAACTGGTCCTCGGTCTAGAGGCTGAAATGCAGCCTCACCGCCTTTTACCTTTTCTTAGCACGAGAAAAGTACCCTTATGCATTCTAAGGAGCATGGGGTAAAACTGTGACACATCTGGGAGGGAGGCAACCCCCCCCAAAAGGCTGCCATTTTTAAATCCTCCAAAATCTGTCCCATTAAAAACAAATAATTTTTAAAAAATATTTTGGTTTAAAATAAATTATTATGGTTTTGGGGCAGTAGAGATTACAAGAGATCTTGTCCAGTAAAGAAATAATGAAAAATCTATTTTGGGGCAAGGGAACAGCAACAGTGCAGCCCTCCATAGCTCAGAAGTGGGTAAGTACAGCTACTTGAGCTCTGAAAATTTCTCATCCCTGCTTCAAAGTAAGACCTCAGTTTCTGGCCAGGCTGTCTCCTCTTATGATCATTAGCAGGGGAAGTGGAAAATCCTATTAGCATAAGCCTCTGAGGTATTAATTGTTCCCTTCCCTTAAGAAACCAGATTGGAAGTTTCCGATGCTGAACATTTGGGATTTAAACAGAGGCAGAATAAGGCATCTACTCCCATTTCCTTTCACTTCTTTCTTCTTTCTTATTCTTTGTTTCCTGGTGCCTACATGAGATATGATTGGGCTGGAGCTGCTCCAGAGTTCAGGGGAACACGCTCCTAATCCCATTTTGAAAACACATGGAACAAAAGACCTTTCACAGCATGTAAGCCTTGGGCTCTGCTTAACATTATTCCCATTTTAGCCTGACAGTAAGGACAACCCTGCCCCCCAAACGTTTAAGTAATTCTGTGCTTCAGAAATATTTTTGCAGTCTCTGTCCATTGCCATGTTAAGCAGCTTGGTTTATTTGTTTCGTTACACAAGGAGTTCATGCCCAGATTAGTCAGTGGAATTTACAACCTTAGCCAGGCTAAAAGGGATACTCTCATACCCCACGACAGCTCTTCTGGCAAGGACTAATATTTCTAAATGGTCACTAGCATATTTGTTTTAGCCAATCCAGATGCCCTGAAAAGGGTGCCGCTGAAGGACTTGGCTTGGTTTGGGCATTTTCATCTTAAACAGAACACAATGCAGGATCTAAAAAGCGTAGAAAAATGGCAGGGCCCTCCCATCCCCTATGGGAAAAAGTTACAATTGACAGGAAATCTTTACTTCTGATTAAGATAATGACTTGGTAACATCAGTACAAATTTCAAGAATCCATACAAGAAAGAATCATTAGAGGATAATGAATTTCCCCTGTACAGTAGTTAGATATTTTTAAGGAGATGCTGGTGATACAGAATTCTTTTGCAAAGGTTTGACCTAAATGTAATCGTATGTAGAAAAATAGTATTGACTCATGGATATTTCCTTTATTAGGGTTTACATTCTGTTGATGTAAAGTAAAAGTCAGTAACACATTCTCTGATTTCAGGAGACTAGTTGCTGCTTTTTCTAATAAGTGGTTTAATCTTTTCCTCCTGCCACATTACTGGACATAAAAAAGTATTAAAAAGCAAACTAAGATCAAGGGGGGGAAAGCAGAGTTTAAGATTCTGATACTAAGAGAATACATGCATTATTACTCCCTAAAAGAGAATGTATTATTTGCATAGCAGAATTTTACTAGCATATTTGTCTACTGTATTATTATATTTAGGCAAATACAAGACAACAAAATATAGCATTCAATTCCAAAATCCCAGAATGATACCAGGAAAACAGCAGCATAGACAGTTGACCATTCTGTAGGTGATGAAAATGAACCTAAACTCTGAACACTGTTAGTTTGTAATCAAATGTTATTTAGCACCATTTTAATGTAGTACAGCTTGCTTTATTTCTTCATAATTCCATAAAAGAGGTCATGCTATCAGGATGTGGAATGGCCTTTTTATTTCTATGATGGAAAGTTTGCCAAGCAATGGGTTTAATCCAAATAGGTCCTTCCACTAATGGAATGACTTCCGTCAATACAATGGAAAGCAGGCGATTCCTCCTGCTCCCTACAGTCTTCTAAACACCCTAAAAATGAGTCCCGTAGGATCTTCTGGAGCAGACTTTGGAAGGATTTGGAAAGCTGCAGGGTAGAGGAAAGGAAAGGAATGCTGCACGAGCCAAAGTCCATTCAAACAAAGAACATCTGATTGGATTCTTCACATCTGAGAAACAACTGACCAAGAATCTGTACTGCACAGATGTACAGAAGCTACTGAAAATAATTTATCAGTATACAACTAAGGATCTGAGTTTAGATCTCTCTGTAGCTTAATGAAGTAAAACCTAACAGTGGAGACAGAACTAGTTTATGGTTGTCATATGGTGCCGGGCAATACGCAGAAATCTGTTTTCATTTTCTTTTGATTTTTTTACTTGTCCTCTTCTCTGGAGCCAAATATATATTAAAACTCTAACATTAAATGTCTTAAATGGCTTTTAAAAAAATAACTTTAACATATGACACACTGACAAATACTTTACTGGCTACTTTCCAAACATGATATCATATAACTGTATTATGCTGTGGATTTTGCAAGCTGCAAGCTATTTTGCAAATCTGAAACTGTTACTTAGTGAACTACACAATTTTCAAGCATCTCTCCCATCACCATAGAAAAGATACAGCTACTGATCAACGGAAACTACTGGTTTCAACTTCCTAACATATTTATATCATACTATCATTATCTTGCTCAAGAAACAAAAACATAGGGAAGATTAGAAAGAATAAAACAAAACCTAGGGATAGAGTGTACATATATAATTCAGAAATCACTCTGATTATTTATTATTATTTATAGAGTAAAAAGCTGACAAAAGAATCCTAGGAAAATCAGATTACCTTACTGGGTCATTATTCCTTTAGTGCAATTTCACACCTTTTATTTTGTGATCAAATTCTGATATTATTTGGACCTTAGATTACTTTCTTCCTGAGAATATAAAACTTCTGCCAAATTCTTAAATCTGTTATTTCACCCTGATAGAAAGTATATTCAAAAGTCTACTTCTCAGGGGAAAGAACATTATTTGTACCCATAATCTCAGCAGAACGTCTTGAACACTTTATACTTATTTTCCTCTATAAATTTGCCTTTATTTCAATAATTATGAGATGTATAAATTGGTTCCTAATCTTTCCAGTCAAGACCTGCTCTCTTCATTACCAGGACCTAAATTACCATAATAGCCTTCAATTTCTTTCTACTACAAAGGGGGAGATTATTTTTTCAAAGAACTTAAGTCTCCCACTTGCAGCTAGCCAGCTCACATTCTTTGCAAAAGTAAACTCTTATGCCAAATTCACTGCTCCACTCACTACAGTGCTTTACCATATATAATATGGTCCTAAATGCAACTTAACTGAGTTTGTCAGAGTCTCATTCACCACACTCCTCTTTTTTTGGGAGGGGGGGAAGTGAGGTTTGGGGTGATGTGCTCTTTTGTTTTTGGTTATTTCTATTTTTGTATTTATTTTTATCTCTAAGGAGACCACAGAATAAAACAGTCTTCTCTAGTAAGAACCATTTCCTTCACCAAAGGATTGGAACAATGATCCAATAACAAATTAAGACCAATCCAAAATTTTCAACTGGCTGCATTTTCTGAAACATTCCCTTTTTAAGTCTTCTTATACACTTTATTCCTCCATAAAGTTATTTCCTGCTATTTTTCTTCTCTCTCTCTCTCTTTTTTGCACAGCTCTCTAATAAATAATGTAAACACATTCTTCAGCAGCTCATCTACAGTAGACATAACAGACACTTTATTATTTATTAGTTGTGTTTCATTACTGACAACCTTCACAAAGCTAGTTTGCTCATCTTCATCCCACAAATCACCAATGGCCAAGGCCTTACCGGAAAATAACTATCAACACCATCATTATTATCAGAGGCCAGAAAATTCGCTAGTTTTTTCCCTAAGGAGGGAAAAAGCACTCCATGTTCCCCAGCTGCTTTATTAATCCACTGCTAGTTCACATTTCCAGGCCCAAGGCTCCTTAAATAGCAGCCCTGAAGGTTAGAAACAAAGTTTTGGCACCAAACCCTGGAATACTGAAGAGTTACTTCCCGCTGAAAAGCTCAAAGGAAGGTCATCATCCACAATTAAAACCAGCACCAATAAGTAGATAGCCTTTAAATGCATTTGTTTTCATAACTTTCAGTATCTTCCAAAAACAGCAGATTTCAACCCTTTCATATAGGTAGCAAGAAGGCTATTAATGTTGACAAATTTATTTATTTGATTTATACCCCACCCATATGGTCTAAAAGACCACTCTAGGCGGCTAGAACCTGAATACTGATAAACAGCAGTTTCCATTGCACACGTGCTGTCTCTTTCCCCAAAAATTCAGGAATCTCAACAGTGTTGGAGTGTTAAAGTCAACTGCTGCTTTGCTTGTGAGACATACAGTAGTCTGTGACCCATAAGTACCATACCAACAGTAAAGGTACAATCAAGCCCACCACTGATGGAGCCAAGGCTAAATTGTAAGATACTGTAGAACAGGCAGTAGGTGCTGTCAAAAGTATGTGTCAGTGCCATCTTAGGTGAAAGAGGGCTTTGCAGAAAATTCCTGTAGCTCAAGTGAGGAGAGACTGGCAAAACAAGTCTTTAATGATAATTGTGGTGACAAGAGCAATGAGTTAAGCTGATGATTACAGCAGCAATTTAACCCATCCAGTCTGAGTACCAAGGTCCATGCAATCTGGCACAACAATGCCACGTTTCTACTCCCACATACAGAAAGCAGGAGTAGCTAATGGGAAGGGAGCTCCTCATCCTAAGATTTTGAGGGAAGCCACCCTCCTGTCCCAGGCCAAGAGCTGTCCTCGAAAGAAAGCAACAACTCCAGTGCTTTCTTCTCCAGGTTGATTCCCAGCAGAGTTATGTACACTGAATAACCGTCAGAATCTTTGGAAAATTAAGAATCTGGTGTGGGCAGCTCCATCCTCCGACAGCATGCTCCATGGAATGGTGACCTTTGGGTATAGAAAACCATATGGCTGGCGAGCCATTCTTGAGATGGGACACTTCTCTTGTCTCTCACCCTCTGAAAGGGACATGACGTCCAGCATTTCATCTGAGGATTGATGCTCAAGCACCTTCCACATTTTCTAAGTAGAACAAGAGACTACAAGTGAGGTTGCAGAGGTATTAGAAACAGCTGACAAAATGGGTCAGCAACAGCACTGTGTGAGGGTAAAGCCACACAAATCAGTCCTGATACCGTTAACTGTGAAATAGTAGCAAATTCCAGGCATCTTGCCTCGTTTCCTCTCTTCCTCTTGCGGTTTATCTTCATTGGAATCAGAAGAGATTACTTATATCTTGCCTTGTAGAGTTACCTCTACCTCTGTTTCCTAACTCAGAGGTGACAAGCTCACAACTGGAGGAGCCTGGGGTTCAATCCTACTAGTACCATAGCTCACATTAGGTCCCAACCCCAAAAGGAAAACCCACATTCTCTGACAGGAACCAAAGAGGAGCCTTGATTTACTTATCTCCTGAATTAAGAAGCATTTAATAAGAAAAGATGATATCCTATTTGCCGACACATGGACACATTTCTAAAATTCATATTCTGAAAAACAAAACATGAATCAGGGGCTATTTAAATCGGTACTTGGATTTGATGCTCAACGTGGTACAGTGGACAGAGTGACAGACTAGGACTTAAGGAGTCCTGAGTACACATCCCTGCTTGGCCATGGACACTCACTGCAGGGTGGCAATGGTAAAACCAACCCTTAAAGATCTCACATATCTTAAAAACCTTGCTAGGGTCGTTATCCATTGGATGCAACTTGATATCACATAAGAATAACAACTTGGATTTGGATGTGCTCTTTTCACCTGAATGCTTTTAAGGTGTTACACAAATTGCACTGATAACATCACATACGTAGTTTCCTACTACAAATAAAATTATTTACCTTGTCCATGACATTTTCATGTGCTTTGAAGGCTTGTCTTCACGAAAACTGTAATCAAGAGAACGTCTTCCTCGGAAGTGGTAAGAGAAAGCATTGAACTGTCCTCTAGTTCTGCAATCTGAAATTCAACAGGAGGTTACATGTTATATAAGTAAGACCTCAGATTTTTAAAACTTTGACCATTTCCCACTCTTGGAAAAGCATAAAAATAGCCCAAGTTGTTTTTAATCTTGGCATGAAAAATTATTGTATGTGGAAAACAATAACAACAAATCCCCTCTGACAAAATCTTCCAGTGAAATTTCCTGCACACTATAAAGAAAGTGAGAGAGAGAAAGACCAGAAACAGACTGATTATTTTATTTATTTAAAATATTTTTATCCCACCTTTCTCCTTAAAAAAGAACCCAAGGCGGCTTACATAATTAAAAATACAATATTTAAAAGCTAAAAACAATAGGTATACAAATATTTTAAAAGAATTAAATTGACAGTAGATACTTCACTGATAGCAGAATTAACAAACTGCAATGCATAAAATGCTGCTCTGATATATTTGGATGGAGTGAGAGATAAATATTTTAATAAATAAGTTTTTTTAAAAAATTAATAATCCATAATAGGTAGATGGCACATACACCAGACAATTAAGCTTTTTATATGTATAAGTGTAGGGAGAGTGTAAGTGTATTGTTCTGGTTGCAGGTACTGTGTTTTTAATCATGGAGAGACAGAAATGGCAGAGATGATGATATAGTTGGGTCAAGTAAATATTACTATCCTAAGTTACTGGGAGCAAAACTCTAAGGAAGGAGTGTTCTTGCTTGCAGACATTAAGGAGTAAAATCTAGGGACTGATTCCCCTTCTTTCTAAAATCACTATTGCCCTTTGAATATGTTACGTGTAACATCACAACTGTAAACAGATCACAAAGAACTAAAATGAACAGAAAGTATCATGAAGTTAAATTACAAAGAAGCCCATAAAGGCAGACTAGGGTTTGCGCAGAGGTACACTGTCGAGGTGTTTGTTAATCAAGGACAAAAACAGTGTTGTGAGCACATAATCTTTCAGGCAGGCATCACTAGCCGTATCTTTGGCTTGAGAACACAGATGCAGTAAGAGGACATTTAGAGAAATAAATCATGAAAAACAAAGGAACAACAGCAAAAAGAAGCTGGAACAGTAAGCATGTTTCAAATGGAGAAGGTAATTTGCTTACTCTATTAGAATGTATCTGTTTTTATTATCTTTACTGTTTTCCTCGACATAAATGTTTTTCCAGGACATCTATTACATTTTGCCTGTTATTGAAATTTATCCTCTTTTGGAACATTTAACCAAGTTCCAATATCAAGAATAAGACTACAAAACAGCTCTCATTCTGCCTAATAACAAAACCAGAATACTAGTCAACTATTTTCACCACAGAATTACTGCTCTACTATACAACATTGCAGAAATAAACAAGTTTTCACAGTATAAACATCGACTGAATTACAGAATTTGATTTTACCATAATGAAAAAATGTTTATTCACAGAGACAATACTTGTCTTCTCAATATATAAACTAGTCACATATGTGCATCCAAGTACAAGATTGGTTAACTATTTTCACCACAGAACTCCAGTTCTAATATGGGAAGCAAACTGATATGTAAACAAGTAGGTTAATGGCCTCTGTTTTCTCTTGTGACAGTGACTGGAGGTAGACAAGAGTGGCCGCTCTGGAAAAAAGCAGTCACAACTATCCTAAGGACAGTAGAGTACCGATGGGGATAATTATGGAACTGGAAGGACTTAAAATGTAAAGCCCTGCACTTCAACAAGAACCCTTTGAAATAGAGATCATGTGACCTCAAATATGGTCCGGCTTGAAAACTGGGTTCATCTTTACCATGGCCAATGGTCAGACATCTCTGCTAGCTTCTAACTGCTTCCCAAATAATAACAAAAGAACATAGCTTTCAAAAGTGGAAGAGGGTCACCTGTGTTCAGGAAGGTTGATTAGAAACACAAGGTGCAATGGTGGCCCCTCCATAATGTGTTCTCATTGTGCCACATGCACTTTGTAGCTCCTTCTGCCTCTAAAATGGCATTGAGAAGGCAGAGAAAACAACATGTGCCAACCTTCATGCTGAGCTCAGGAGCATCATTTCCAGTTGAGAATAAACCAGAAAGTCCTCTCCTGTGTCCAGCAAGACGTCCTCACTATTGATTTCTTCCTCCTTCTCAAAGACAAGGCCTTTACTACCTTAGGAAGGGTCTCAGAGGAAGCCACGCAATAAGTGCTACAACACTACAATCTCAAATTAACAGTACAAACATCATTTCAAAGATTTTCACATATGTACAATGCCTAAGGAACATTAGTACAGTAATATCCTGCTTGGAATGAATTCAGAATACAGTGGTGCCTCGCAAGACGATTACCTCACAGAACGATTAATCCACAAGATGATTAGTTTTTGCGATCGCTGTTGCACTTCGCAAGATGATGGTTTCCTATGGACAATTTCCGCAAGACGACGATTTTTCCCCATTGGAACGCATTAAGTAGATTTCGGTGGATTCCAATGGGGAACCACGTTTCACAAGACAATGTTTCCTATGGACAATTTTCGCAAGACGACGATTTTTCCATTGGAACGCATTAAATGGATTTCAATGCATTCCAATGGGGAACCGTGTTTCGCAAGACAATGTTTTAGCAAGACAGCGTTTTTCACGGAACGAATTAGTATCGTCTTGCAAGGCACCATTGTATGTTCCAAAAAAATGGAGCTCCAACTTAATCCAGCTCCAAATGGGGTCATTTTAAAATTGTGCTTCATGGAAGTGCCAGCGCAGAACAGGTAGACTAGGCCCTCATCGAAAATGGCCACCTGAGCATGTGTGCTGTAGCAAATTGCCACTTAAGGGAGCAGTGCTATGCACAGGAGTACTATCTACCATATGGACATACCATTACTTAGCAAAGGACCATAGGATGGTTTACACAGGGATTATATCTTTTCCCCGTAACACCAGCCTTCTGAGATAGCTTCTTTGTCCAAGGTTGCCCAAGAAGCATCAGACTAAAACAGAAATTTGAACCAAGGTCACTTTTGTTGCAAGTCACAACACAATATTCAGTAGGATTTATGCAAAAAGAACAAAAGCATTAAAAATCTTAATTTTAAAGGGCAATGTGGTACAGATATTAATTCATTCCTTTTTGCTTAGTAATAAAATATTATTTTAAAAATATGCACTTTGGTTTTTCAGAATATTTTCAAATATTCACTTGTAGATTTACCTTCACAGCAATCTTGCCACATCCTGAGATCCACTTTAGGAATTTCGTTACAGCTTACGTATCCATGTGGGAACTCAGCCACTCTAAAAACATCATGCTGCACTCTGGTTATGTTGTCCCCGTTGTCACACAGAATTCTGGCCAGGGATGACTGCTTGATCTGAGTCAATTGAGATGGAGTAAAAACGCCAGGGTTCTCATGCCATAACCTGTAGTCTCACATACAGAATAAATTCTTAAGACATTTATCAACTGAAAAACCACAGATAAACAGTTCTAATAGCAGAAGAGAGGATGCAATGCTGTGCAACATATGGATTTTATGTATGTTCATATTAGAATCAAGAAAGTACTGGTGTATTTGATGGCCTAACTGACTCTGATAGAGACTATTATCTCCTCTTTGCTAGGTTACTTCTCCTGACATATTTGGAGAAGCAAACCTATTCTCTCAGCCTACTAAACAAACACTTATAATCACAGATCACCACTCTAGCTGATATATTATCCCTTTGATGCTGTTTCAATAAATCCTAACCCAACATAGACACTCAGAATGAATACCAAGACCTCACTACTGTCATGCACAATAACAGTAATTCCAAAATCTTACTAGAAAAGTCCGTCTTTTACATTCAAAAATTGCCCTACTTGCAAACTCACACTGTTAATGTACTTAATGTACTTAACAGTTCATACATCCCGTCTTAATACTGACTCCTGATACTTGGCACCCGATGGATCACACATGAATGAAAATTAATTCCATCAATTGTGTTGTACTTGGAGTGATACAAAAACTGTCTAATGGTACGTATTACTTAGCTGCCCTGTCATTTAAGAGCTACTGAACTCTGGAATGAGAACTTAATGTGAATGTTCAAATATGCTAGCCGAGCAGGGCTGTTCAATCTTGCGGGAGGAGAGGCCATTTGCCCTAGACATCAGAGTGCCAAACTAACTGATGTTATATTTATAAGAAAAACTGGAAAGGCAAACAATATAACTCAGAGGAGAAGAAATATCACAGTAACATATAGTGAAGGTTTGTGAGATCGCCTTTCGTCTGTTGGTTTCATTTTTTCCCCTCCAATACTGAGCAACCGCAGTCAAGTAGTGAGAGTACAAAATAGTGGTTCAGGGGATGGTGCAAATAATCTACTGCATGAGAGGGCACATGGGATAGCTGAGCTCAAGTCTTTTGTACAAAGATCTACTTTGGGTTTCCTCCTAATCCTTCTCTACTTCATCAGCTTCCTTTCTTCTATGGGACAGAGAGTCCTTTTCCACTCCCTTTTTGCTACTGTTACTAGCAACTACTAATCAGAAACCCTTAGTGATCCAGTGTGAATCATTCCATGATATAACAAATCATGATATACCTTCAATACACCTCCTACCTGCCCTTCACAGGTAAAGGCTGCTACCCCTCCATCTTGTGGCCACATTTCATATCTTTCCCTTCAAATCCAGTGTGAATCATTCCATGATATAACAGATCATGATATACCTTCAATACACCTCCCACCTGCCCTTCACAGGTAAGGGCTGCTACCCCCCCCCCATCTTGCGGCCACATTTCATATCTTTCCCTTCAGCTAGCATACTCTCTAGCCCACCATGGCCAATGCCAGTCCAATGAAGGGTGACAGAGAAGAACTGACCTTAGGAATAGTAAAATTATGGGTCAACTTACCTGTCTCCATCTCGGAGGCGTTTGAATTGTGTGCTCAAGAGGCACATGAGTGTCGGTCCCAATCTGCTACCAGGAACTAAATCTTCTACCATGAGAGCAGGGAACAAATCAATGTTTACTGGTGAGCCATATAATCTATTAGAAGGAAAAGAAACAACGCTAGGTAACCAAAAATAAATTAATCAGCAGCATATGGCATTTAAGAGCTATAGCTGAAAGGTCACATCATTGGAAGTGAACAGACATGTTATTCTTGTTAGACCACATGTTCTTCCTTAATTTGTAGTTCCATTTTTGTCACCTCCCCCCTAAGTGTAGTTACTTAGGCCATTTGTTTGAACTGTATCACTCCCTAGGTTCAGGTCTGTCATTTATGTTGAGTAACAGACCACCCAGTTCCTTCTTCTGATGACTTGAGTGAACAATGTCAGTGCAAGCTCTGAGAGCCATTTCTTCCTTCAAACACCAACAGTCATCTCACCGTTTTCAGCTGGATTTCAGCCCTAGCCCAATGAAGCACCTGGGCAAAGTGATTTCTATAGCAATATTCTGTACTCTTTGGTTTGAAGCACAAATCCATTCTGATATTTTTAAAACATTAATTGGTTCAAAGCAGTTATTAGAAAACGTCCACATAACTTCATGGCCATGCATCTTCCCAGGTTGCTGTCCATGCACTAGGTGTTAAAGTTTTAGATCTTGGAATTCTATACTTAAAAGTTAAAGCATTAGCAGTACTTAGTTAAAGTAACATGCTCATCTTTCTACATGTAGCATTTTACAGGTTGTTGCAAGTAGCTTTTAAACTAATTTTTAAAAATCTACCAAAATCCAATTATTAAAAAATCCCTGAAAATGATGTGTCAAAAAGTGTTTTGAAAGTAATGTCTAGAGTTTAAAGGCTGCTTCATATTCTCTCACTCTGCCCCTCTTAATTGCAGAAGGTAATGAGTTAGAGCTAATCATTATTTGTTATACTACTTTCCATCTCCAGGATATTGCCTCCAGAAAGGTTTAGCCACCTTAATTTCTATATGCACAGCCTTTACTGCTGCAGACATCCTTACAAATAAGGTCTATGTGAAGCTGCACGATTGTGGAGGTGGGACAGCTTCACTTCCTGGTAATCACATCATGACCTCTTCACATATATAATGTCTCTAGGGGCTTAAAATCTGCACACAGTGAATTTTTTTTAATGGATTTGGCCTCTCTTGCATGCTAAACAGAGGGAGTCAGGCCACCAAAGAGCTCCATGAAACAGGGACATGGTACTCTGTAATAGGATGCTCATTTCTCTTTTCAACACATCTCAGGAACATTTTAAAAGGAAACATCACCTTTATCTGGAGCTCACCTCCTGAGTTTCTCTCTAATGTCAGGATTCTTAATTTCATTTTTCAAATCTTCAAACGTGTGTGCTGAAGAAAGGTTACAATACACTCTAAAATCATGGTAAGGTGGGATCCCATGATCTCTGCCTCTTTGAATATTCATCGCAGCAAGATCTAAAGCTACCGCTCGTGCCATTGAGAAAAGCCTCTCTGTCAACTCCGTATTCAGCAACTGTGATGTCACACGCATCTTACCAGCAACACCAAATAACCCTCTTAGAAGTGGATCAATACCTCCTTCATTTACAATCCGAAATGGAGAGAAGAATGCTTTATGAAGAGGTATATGGCCTTGAGGAATAGGTTGAAAGTTTTCATCCAGACGATACAGTATGGGATTGATTAATGTGTGACCAAACCTAAAAGCGGCAGTTGCAAACTCATTAGTTATACCAGCATTAATATTGGGATCATAACCTTTATATTCGCCAAGCATCTTCAAGCCTACCTCTCCTAAGATTTTAGGCAGCCAGTGACTATAGGTTATATGCTGCATTTCTGCACCAACAATTTTGCGCGTTTCGTGATAGATAGTATCACCATCCCAGTGTGGATTGAGTTTCAGTAATTCTGTGGCAATTCTGTTGTGCTCTCTAAACCATAATGTATGCATGCTGGTGAGCCCCAGCTGCTCATTGGCACGATGATCCCCAGCGAGAAAGCAAGGAATTGGGCTCTCGTTTTCATCCCGCATGCATTCTGTTGGAGGGCCTGTAGCAAATGGGAGGAGAGGCTTTCCAGATCTCTGCACAATGCCCTGTCTCAGAAGACCCCTGTGACTTGCTACGTCTCTGATTTCCTGGGCCTCGTGTTCTGAGCTGCCATAGACGTTGGATGCATCGATGTAGGAAGTCAGCTGGTTGATCTGTTCCCGTGGGTACACAGAATTCATGAGAAGGGAAGTCATGCCGCTTCCACAGACTGGACTTGAACGCACAAAAAACATACATCGTGCTCCATTTCTGACTCGGGGATCATTGGGTGGGATCATAATGGAGAAACACGGAGGGTCATTTGTGCAAACTGAACTACAGTGCTGACCATCAGAAAACCTGGCCTCACTTAGGGCCGCAACTGTGGAGTCCAGATCATGATCCAGAAACTGGCCCCACTGCATAAGCATATGACTAAACTGGTCATCGGGGGTTATCGTTTCCGTTCCAATTAGAGTTGTTGAAACCAAGCGTGGCATTGGGAGTGTATATCCATTGTAACGGCGGTTAACTCCAATGCCCCTCGGCAGATTAAATCCATTTTCATAGACGGACTTCAGCATACGTTCAAAGGCTGTGAGAGAAGCTCCCCACATCGGATGCTGCAGATTATTGCAGGTGCCATCGTGGGTTCTGTATTTCTGGTGATAGCACATATCTGAACAGTTATTCACACGCCTGTGGGCAGTGCAGCCTGAGAGGTTAGCTATCAGGTTCAAGTACTGTGGAGATACAAGATCATTATAGTGATAGCCTGAAATAGATCAGAGAGGGAGAGATAATGAGTTAAATACTTTTTCAAGTACCAGAAAACAAATCTCAAATTCTAAGAATAAACATTTCAATCAGTTTAATCATGTAGTTCAACCAGTCAATTCAGAGACGTTTTTAAATGGGAGTAGCTAGACTTAATGACAAAGTGTTTCAAAACTTCTGAGGCTCTTTAATTCTGATGTGTTACTGTAACAGTGAAGGGCAATGAAAAAAATGTAGGCACTTTTACTTCTAAAACTGAGGCAAGGCAGCTATTATCAATGGTAGTCTCTGTTTCTTCAACTGTAAATTGTGAGCTTCCTTTGATACCTCAAATGCATGTTCATTATAGTATTTAATTCACATTGGTTCACAGATTATGACTAATCAATGAAATATTATTTTTTTGATGACGAATTAATTAACTATATGATTCTATACACATCTACCCAGAGGTCTCATTAAATAAAATAGATTTTATGCCTCAGGGTAGGTGGATATGGGATTGCAGCCTACTGTACATGAAGCATCGAAAATTAATAACAGTATTAAACAGTTTAAGAACCTTAACCACACTGTGTTAAACTGATAAAAGGATGTCTTGAAATCCCACATAGCTATTTAGAAATCCAATTTCTTTATCTTTAAAATATATATTAGTTTTTAATATAACAGCTTTTTTCAAGAATGTCAACAGCTAGACACTGAATTTTGTATCCTGCAAAATTCATTATCACCACAATTACGGTTGTTATTGCCACCTCATAAGTATCAAGTAGTTGTTGTATTGGCCATTATCTTATCCAGAGTGGAAGGGTAATTGCACAAGTGTCCCCCCCCATGTGCAAGCCCCCACTGTGTGACTAATCATGCAAACGATCACTCAAGTGCTGCAAGACCAGACACACAAAGAGAGGCCTGCCAAAGTGAGGAGACTGTTTGCGCAATAACCCTACTGTGATTATGTAACTCAACAAGACACTGGCCATTTAATCACTGCCATGTTGTAGGATAGCTTAGCATTCCTGAAATGCTTACAATTGTGAGGGCACAAGCAGCAAGCTAAGAATAGGAGGCCACTCAGGTTTGGCAAAACTCTGTTCTCCCATCACTCACAGTTAGAGAACTCCACATGCAGGATGTTATGAACCAAACAAAAGCACATCTTAAATTCTCTAATACATGGGTATGCATAGTGGATACAGATGAATAAGGTAATGTGCACATTACAAAGACCTGGAATTGAAGATTTTGTTCTTATCAGAACAATAATTTATGGAACAGTGGTGCCCACGGTGAAGGCAGATCACTCAAAAGCCGTTCTCGGGGTGGGGTGAGGCACAACCTACAGGGGTGAGGCACAACCTATTTGGGGCTTTGGACTGCAATTCTCAGAATTCTTGGAGAATTTTGGGAATTGAAACCCAAAAATGCAAATCAGCACACCCCAAATATTGCAAACAATACAAATCTTACTAAAATCACTTGGGAATTAATTTTTTAAAACAATCATTAATCGGAAACCCATTTGTCAAGGCATAACATAATGTTAAATCATTGTAAATATTCCAGGCATTCCGCCCTAGCAACAAGGGCTACACAAATCATACACTTGGTTGCACAGTTCCTGTTTCAAACAACATGTTGGCAGAAGTGATTTGTGCATAGGGACTGCAGTTCCCACAAGTTATGCCCATATACCTACTCAATAGGATTTCAGCATTAAAAAATTACCTTTACTCATGCTATCTGTAATGATAAAGGTCAATATGCACCTGTGTCTCCACCACAGGTCCAACCCTATAAAACTTAGGGACATGAGAAATGGCACTGATACTATGCTGGGGACCTTAGAGGCATGCATTTCAGTTTTTATGTTAAAATGCATTAATTACTTCTAGTTATGTAAAGTTTGTCACAGTCTGGCATAATATCTTGAATAGTAGAATATCCTGGTAGGAGGCCCAGGATATTCATTTCTAAATAGGTCCTCCTGCCAGTTCCACTTGGTGCCTCTCTCTACATGACCTTGAATGCAGCAAACAGTCAAAAGATGGGGGAAGGGGACAGACAAACTAATACAGTGGTGCCCCGCATAGCGAGGTTAATCCGTTCCGGATTAACCATCGCTATAAGAAAACATCGCTAAACGGGATGGAAAATGCCATAGGAACGCATTAAACTTATTTTAATGCGTTCCAATGGCTTCTGTACTCACCGTTAAGCGAAGTTTTTCCCATCCGCAGCCATTTTTGCGCCCTCGGTAAGCAAGAGCAGGGCGCGAAAACGCTGCGCATGGCCATTTTGAACCCACCGAACAGCTGATCCGCGGGCGTCGCAATGCGAGTTTTGCCCATTGCGGTGGTTGGGATGCACTATGCGAATTCATCGTTATATGGTGCGCTCGTTAAGCGAGGCACCACTGTAGTACAATAAAAGGTATCACCTACTCTTACATTTGTTTTCCTTGTTCTTTCTGGATTACGCAAGGTACCATTAAAATACCACAGCACCACCTACAAGATAATGTGGACTCTCAACACCAGTCACATGGGTTCTTCACATCAACCAGAGGTGACCAGAAAACTGAAGAAACATCTCCTTATGCTCATCAGCTAAAAACATTATTTTGACTTTAATCTGGCACAACTGGCTATTTCTACCCAGTGAATAAACTAAATTATAAGCCTTAAATTATGCTAGAGGCAGCTATGTCTTTGTGTTGGTTTCCCCCACACTCCTATGGCCAAAAAGAAACTTTGTGTTTTAAAGCAGGCAATGTGAGTGTGTGTGTGGGATGGGGGGGGGCTACGAGCATAGACTGATGGCAACCATTTGGTCCTAAAAGAGGGGTGAAAAAAAATCCCAACCATGGTGCAAGGATGCTTGAAACCACCACCTCAAGAGGACTGACATCAACTCTCACAGGCATGGACCACCAGGTTTTGGACTCTTGTCTACAATTTCTTCTGCACTATCCATGAAGAGGTCGTGCTAAACATGTTGAATTATCTCTACAAAGGCTTGCTTTATTTGATTTTCTTAGTGGTTCCATAAAACCTATCACCCACTCTTACATCTGTGTAACGATACCTGGTACTCGGTGTAGGGGAAAGAAAGAAAGTTAGCAGAGAGAAAAAGGGAAAGAAAGAGGTGGAAAGAGAGGGAAACTAACATGAAAGGAAAAGAAGTGGAGGGAAGGGAATACTAGAGTGTGAGTGAAGACTCAGGGTTTTCCAGCCTAGGCAAAGTCTGTTAATTATTTAATAAGGAAACATCATATAGAAATATTTTGCATGGGCCCTTTAAAATGTTATATGCAAGTTTACTTTGTTTCTACAAGATCAAAATAAAATATATTACAGCCATCACACATAACATTTTAAACAGTAATGATCTGGGTGTAGATTTTCTATATGCAACCATGTGATAAATGATTCAGTATAAATTAAGCTGTAGCCATCTGGAGAAATTTGTGTTACACAATTAATCTTGCAACATTCCACTTCCATGAAGCAGATATTTTTAAATACAGTCTATTTAGCATCGTTCAGGACTAGAAGTTCGGTTTTTAGCATGCTTTTATAAAATTCACAAATGTTTGAAACAAAAGAACTATCCTTAGCAAAAGTATTTCCTTTCACATGATCAACCTGGCTGCAGCATTAGCATAGCTGCCAAGTCCCAGCTGTTCTGCCTTTCTAAAACTTTAACTTCCAAATACTTTACAACATGTTTCAAGTATAGGTAACTGCCAAAAGTAAGACCTTGGAGGGATTACTGAATAATTGCTTTATAACTGTAATTTTAACTTGTGTTGATATATTTAGATTGTGAGCATAGTTATTCCACCAGGGCAGTTATTAGCTATTGTCAAAAAGAGATCATTTTAGAACAGTTTTTAGGCAGTGTGGAGATACAGTTAAGTCTCATCATGAAGAAGCTGTCAACATTACAGGGAAAGAAGTGAAAAATAGTTTGTTTTATCTATGAAATTTTGCTTCAGCCTCCACAGACACATACTGCATTTTGTTTTCAGAAATAAAGACAGCACTTTGAGAATTGGGGATTAGATCAGAAAGGAGAACTCATTTCAAAAAAGAAGAAAGGAAAGGAGGGAGGGAGGGAGGAAGAGAAAGAAAGAGGCACTGATTGAAATTCTGTTGCACAGCTCTGGCTATGCATTAATGGGCATTATGTTAGCAGCAGGAGGAAATAACTACTGACTGAAAGTTTCTTTTGATGATTCTGGAATGCATGCAACTCATAAACAATGCAACAAAGTTGTGCGAACCCCCGAATCACAAAAGGAAGCCTTTAATCTGTAGTAATTTGCCACTGTTGATGACATTATTCGCACTGCACATGCTGATCTGCACAACAGGATTTCAGCCACTGTTATGGAATTCAGTCTTTCATGTAGATGCTGTTCGAACATTTATCAATGTTTTGGCTCTTGTTACTAGAAATGTCAAAGAATATGAAGACCCAAACTGGTACAGTCTACCAAAATGTTCCCTTCCAGTTGCTTAGTGTCAAAAAGCTGAATATGTGAAGATTCCTCAACATCACACAAACACTGGATGCAAAATATATGAATCCTTTACTGTAGTTCCAAGAACATGAGCTTCCATTCCAAGCCCAAATTCCAAGCTCATCCGCTACAGCTCTTGAAAAACATCCCTTTCCACATCTGTTTTTTCATGGTAGTACATTTAATTCCAAAATCACTTTTTTTCAGAAAGAGAAAAATGAAACTGTCCAACCTACCATTTCTTTCCTATTTGCTAGAAGCAATTTAGATTCAGGAGCTCTCCTCATCTTAACTGGGGTGTGATTAAAGCTAATCGGTAAGTTTTCTGACAGATACAGTGCAATCCTATTCTCAGGCTATGCTGGCTGAGGTGTTATGGGATAGAAGTCCTGCTAAAGAAGCAGAGCATGCCGTGTGTTGCCATTTCATCGGACAGAATGGCAGCATTACCCTGATATGCCATCACAAAACTGACACTGGAATATCCATGACTTCAGTGCTGTTCCACCCAAGTTGGCCAAAACAGAATACATACATGGATGCGACAAATAAAGATAAGAGCTACCCATGCAGGGGTTTCCCCCAAATTACAATGTAAGCGGTCACTACCTAACCCCCAACCCAAATTCTGATCACATATACAACAGCAGAACTTTATGCTAACTACAGAGGTGATGGAGGCGAGAATCTTCCCTTTGAGTGTATTAGAGAAGAATAAGATAAAGATCACTGCCTGTCACTGCTCGCCCTGCCCATATCATCTTGATGGAGTACATAAAGTGGTATAGTTGTCCACTGAGATAGCACAACAGCACCTATATATGAACCTGGAACGTAAGCGGCACAACTTAGATGACAGATTGTATGGCATGACATGGCTGTATGGCTTTGGCTTCATGTCATGCACACTTAGAACACACAGCAGGAAAGGCACTGACTTGTTCCATTTAGGTCAACCATTAAACCATCTCGAACATGTTCCTGAATCAGCTGCAGAGTCCTTTCAAATATTTCTCCAGCTCTTGCTTGCTCAACAGTGTAAGGATCTCTTGGGTATCGAAATAAGGCTAGCAAATCGTTCGGAGAACGAGGGCGACTAATAGACAAGAAGGGGAAAAAGAATAAAAGGATAAACATACCATGAAGATGTACAGAATAAAGTATCTACAATATTAATCCTAGCACTATTCAGTTACAGATTACAGGTCACAGGTATAATTTACAGATATTAGGAGTGCTATCCACAAATGCTGCAGATATTATTTGATATAATCTGGAAGTATTCAAGAGATACATACCTCAGTTACATTTCCCAAATTGCAAGCAATAAGTAGATAAATAAATGAATTAGCAATCAGATGCACTAATGCTAGACTACTTGTGAATCAGAAGGATTTCTTATAAATGAACAATCTACAAAAAGTATTGCATCCCACAATCATATCATGTCACCTCAAGCTACAGTTACAAACTGAAGTAGTAATAATACATCAACACAATGAAAACAAACCCTTTAGACACTACTATACCTGTCAAACAAATGGGTCCGTGTTGAGTTAATGGCTCTGTCAACAGTAGCGATCGCTTCAACAATTGAGCTTGCTACAAATGGATCTCCATTTCGACTGACATCGGGAACTACACAGAAAAAAAAAACAGAAAAACTGAGAACTTATCCCTACAAAGAAAGACTCAGTTTAAGCAAAGTCTAGACACGACATCATTGGGGTATTACAAAAAAAAACACAACAAAAAAAAAACACTGTTTTTCTGGAACTTTTTTTCTCTTGCAGCAGAGAAGTACTGATCTCTTGGGAATATTACAAAAACACTAAAATGACCTTAGAAGAAAATGTTATTCTTCTGCTCTTGAAATTTAAAATATACTAACATAGGTTTGTCAACAATGCAAAACTGACAGAAAAAAATTAATCAAATGAGAGATAATTTAAAACAATTGAGATCACAATATGACAAGATACATTTTTTAAAAAAATGACAGATTCTCATAAGACAAAATCTAGGCTCATGTAAATAGATTCATCCTTCCAAGGTTTCCAGCTTAGTTTTCTTGAACACCTTTCCTCCTGCCACTCTGTTTTTGATTAAGCACTTTAGAAACATATAAGGAGTTTCAAAAGCTATATATGACATAGGAGTCTGCTGTGGAATTGGTGTTGTTGTGTTTTTTTTTAAAAAAAACGCAAATATCAAACAAACCTCTGGCACTTTAAGTACAACTGAAGTATATCCTTAATTCCCAGCCATAGAGGCATATTATCAACATATTATGAACAGTTATCATTTACAGGAGGAAAAGACATGGCATTCTGTAGAAACCAAGAACAACTCCTCTCTGAATACACCTGGGGCCCTTTGGTAATCTTTTGAGTCACTATATCCACAGCCTGTATAAATTCTGCTACAATTCTGGTGCAGTAGCTAACATTGCATTACATCCAGTCGGCCAATGGTGGATATTTCAGCAGTGAAGCAAACTCCCCTCCCCTGCTGTGTCATCCCTTGTACTTCTGAAGGTTGATCTTAGGCACAGATGTGAGGCAGGAGGAGGAGGGGAAGGGCAAGAAAGCTATGTTGCATGAGCAGAAAGCCATGCACACAATTGGACCAAACCCACTTTCTTCATAAAACAATGGATTCATGTGATGAATATCAGTGAGACTGTAGCTGAAACAAGGGCACAGAGAAACAAGAGGCAAGGAAACTGGGGTTTTCGGAAGCATGAGTACTCAAAATAAACCCAAAGAAACCTCGCTCTCAATGAATCAAAAAGATGGCAGAGCATATTGAGTGGCCACAGAACCCAGAATGTGAGTTGGGACATAGGAAGGCGGTAAGGGCAGAGGAAAACAGTGCGCTTGGGGAAAACACCAGAACACAAGAGATCCTTTCAGGAAGAAAGATACAGCACAACATTTTGTGGTTTGTTTTGGTTGTGATAATACTAGTAATAATAGCCTCTTCTTCCTCCTTGTCCACTATTTGCTTGCTTTATGAGTTTCTACTAGGTTTACATGGCCAACAGTCCATGTCTAGATAAGTGGTAGTTTCTGAATCCTAATTCCTGCACCACTACTCTCTCACACACTGCACTCAAGGCCCAAATACAGCATGCCACTCCAATTCTTCCTTTGTACAACCTGAGTGCACAGATTATGGGGATGAGAAAAGTGACTGAGAGAAAGGAAGGTGTTAGAAAGGAGGGAGAAGGCTTTTCTCTTTCAGCTTCCTATTTATAGTTATGTGAATCACTTGTCAGTTTGTTCCTCCTAAAAGTTCTTGAAACCTACTAGACTGGATGTAAATTTAACATACCAAATGGATGTCAACGTTGCGTTCACGGATAATATTAAGTAAAGGAAGATGTCTAAATTTAACATACCAAATGGATGTCAACATTGCATTCACGGATATTAAGTAAAGGAAGACGCCCTTCTAGGCAGGCTGAAGACAACTTTGATAATCACATCTGGCAACCAACAGTTCAACTCATGTGCATAAAGTCACAAAATTGTCCTTATACATTATGAAGGGGATGGACAGTCTGGTGGGCAGCGTAAACCACATAGAGCTTAAAAAGACTCACTCTCATACAACTGACCTTAGGACTGAAGGCTTTTAGTATTTTTCACCATTTAAAGACAACAAAGGCACGCTGCCCACTCATGACCAACTGATCTCTAATTAAAAAGAATGGAGCTATGCACGTGATTATTCTGTTCAATATACCTCCCATCTCTTCAAATACATAGGAAGAATGTTGGAAATGTTAAAGAAACTGGGGCATTTTATAAAATAATGAATTTCTACCTATCCACTCTAATGTATGTATCTTACCATTCACACTTAAGACCATACTAACTGAAGAATATCCAATAGTATTCCTGGCAACACATTCATAACGACCTTGATCTGCTGGTCCAACGTCATGAATAGTAAGAAATCCCTCAGGGCTTACATGAAATTTCCCACTCTCTGTGACCTGAACACCATCCTGCAGAAAATCAGAATACCAAACTATTTGAGAAATTTGGTAATGCTTTAAATTTCATAAAGTTCTTTTAAGAAGTTTATTTTTTAAAAATCGGGAGAGGGAAACATGAATTTTATTGTTGTACTTTTGAAGAAGGTATATTCTACTCCGCCATTATTTGTATCTGAAATGTAATGATTAAATATTACACTCTTCATGGGCTGGCTAGGATCCCAGTACAGTATCTGGGAGAAAAGCAGAATAAAACTGAAATAAATAAATTAAAATATACACATATATTGTAGCACACAAGGTCTTCTCTGGTGCCCTCCTATTATAGTACTAACAAGGCCCAATCCTTCTTGAAAAAAAGAGGGGATGTTATGGTGGTAAGGTCCATTCAAACTTCATTTAGAATTTAAATTTTAAATATAGCCATTACGATACACTGCTTCATACCGGAATGAATCTAGTCATTTAAAAAGAGGAGAGTCAATGGCCTGCTAATAATTCTTTGTAATAAGTGAGCAATACTGGAACTTGGAAACATATTCTTATTACAAATAAATTAAACACAAACACATTACCTTATTCCATGTTATTACTGGCTCAGGTTCTCCTTGGGAACTACATGGAATCTGCACATTTGTTCCAACCTCTACTGTCATATCACTTGGGACATTAGCAAACACAGGAGTTACTACAAGCAAGTTATACAGAAGAAAAGACAAATGAGTTAAACCTTTTAAATAGATAGAAACATCCAAATTCATTGATGATGTTGTCCTATAAAAACTGACTTTATATTCAGGACACTTTAATGCCACAATTGACATATATAAGATGGCATTATAAATCTAACAACATATTCTTCACCTATTATTATTAGTGTCTCTAAAATCTTCTTGTAGGAAATCATCTCAGGTTAATACTTTGATAAATTTGTGTCATTTTTTGTACTGAATAATTATGGTATACTATAATCACCAGTACGTAATTACTTCTGGAAGTATCAATTTACACAGTGACCAAAATCCTGTTCATTAGTTCTATAAATGTGAGGGTGCCCATTGAATCAGTGGGCATTGAGTGAGTCAAATGGAACTCATGGAGGAGGTGATTGACCAAATCCCAAAGATTCAGTGAGTATACTCTAGTCCACTGCAATTTACTATGCTAAGCAACAGAATTTTGGCCAGTGTGTTTCTCCATATAGCTTTTAATTTCTTCACATAAGTTTGAAAAATATAATAGTCAACTTAAACAGGCATAAGGAGGTACTGTTAATTACTTTTTCTTCATGAACCATACACATGCCTCAAATATTCAACCTCTCTATATCTATATCTATCTATCCATCATAGGCATCCTTCAGTCTCGAGAGACTATGGTATCGTGCTCTGTATGGAGGACTTGGAACAGCGTCTAGTGTGGCTGAGAAGACCAATTCGAGAGTGACAATCCCTTCCACACTTAGGACAAGTACAATCTGTACCCCGTCTAGCTCCCTGATTTTCTGCTTTCATGACTGTCTCTTTGCCTCAGCCTGCTGGGAGAGGGTCTCTTCAAACTGGGAGAGGCCGTGATGCACCACATGCCTCCAGGCTGAACGCCCAGATGTCAGGGTTTCCCATCTGTTGAGATCCATTTCCAAGGTCTTCAGATCCTGCTTGCAGATATCCTTGTATCGCAGCTGTGGTCTCCCTCGGGGTGATTTCCCCGCACTAGTTCTCCATACAGGAGATCCTTTGGAATCCGACCATCAGCCATTCTGACAACATGCCCGAGCCAACGTAGGCGTCTCTCTATATACCTATAGATATCTAGATCTAGATCTAGATCTAGATCTAGATCTAGATCTAGATCAGATAGATAGATAGATAGATAGATAGATAGATAGATAATCTATCTATTTAGATATATTTATTACCTCCTGATATTAAAATACAACTATTTTATTGATAAATTGATTACAATTTATCATACAACATGTATATGTTACAAAATGGTATTGCAACTTGTACAGTTTTACCTTGCAAGACGATGGCCTCGCAAAACGAATTCGTATGATGAGGTTTTGCGACCGCCATTGCGCTTTGCAAAACACTGTTTCCTATGGGGGAATTTCGCTGTACGAGTAGGAGAGTGCGCCCAGTTCCCCTCCTCCTCTTGGCTTCCCTCCCCTTCCACACCAAGCGACGCTTACCAGAGGCGTAGGGGAGGTGGCGAGGCGGCGACTGGGGAGTGGGGGCATTGCGAGCGGCTTTGCGGACGAATGGGGTTTCCCGGCACAGTGAAGCAAGCCCAGAATTTCCCCTTGCCTCCTTATACGAGCGGGACAGCGTGTACCGGTTCCCCTCCGCCCTTTTTGTTTCCCTACCCGTCCACAGCAAGCAAGTCTAGGATTTCTTGGCTGATTCTCATCACCTGAGCAGGAAGCACATGATAGCTCCCCGCCTTCCCTTGGTTTCCCTCCCCTCCCACACCAAGCAGCGCTTACTGGAGGTACGTCTGGGGAGCGGGGGGGTCGCGAGTGGCTTCAGGGACAACCTGGGCTAATTGGGAAGCTAGCGTCAGCGAGGTTTTTCCCAGGCTGATAGCGGAAGAATTCCCTCCCCGGGTGCTTTTAGCCTTAGTTTTTGCCCTTTCGGCGGGGTGGGGGAAGCCCCTGGGGATTTCCCCATCTCTGCACAGAAGGATGTTCCTTTCACCGTCAGGGCAGGGGCTGCTGGGATGTGGAAGGAGAGGTCCCCTTTGTTTTTGCCAGCCATGTGGGCACTCAGGAGCTCCCTTCCAGTGATGAGCAAGAGTTCCCCTGCCTGGGGGATGAGAGAGGGAGGTCGCCTTTGTTTTGCCGGCCATGTGGGTACTCAGAAGCTCCCTTTCACTGCAGCAGGGGAGTCTCCCACACCGTCAGGGCAGGGGCTGCTGGGATGTGGAAGGAGAGGTCCCCTTTGTTTTTGCCAGCCATGTGGGCACTCAGGAGCTCCCTTCCAGTGATGAGCAAGAGTTCCCCTGCCTGGGGGATGAGAGAGGGAGGTCGCCTTTGTTTTGCCGGCCATGTGGGTACTCAGAAGCTCCCTTTCACTGCAGCAGGGGAGTCTCCCAGATGGAGTTAGAGGGAGGTCGCCTTTGTTTTGCCAACCATGTGAGTACTCAGGGGCTCCCTTTCATTGAGAGTTGAGAGGGGAGGTCCCTTGGGCATTAACTGGGGCCAGGTGGACACGGAGGAGCTCCCTTCCACCAGGGGCTATCAGCAACATGGGGCTTGCGGCAGCAGCCAGCCATTGTTCAGTTTAATTCAACAGCTGATCGGCGGCTCCGCAAAATGACTTCCCTAGGGAGTTTTCGGCACTGATGCTTCGGAAGACAGCGATTTAAAATGGCTTCCCTATGGGTGATCTTCACACAACGCCGACTATTTTCGCCATTGGAACGCATTAAACGGGTTTCAATGCATTCCAATGGGGAAATTCTTTTTGCAAGACGATGATTTCGCTAAACAGCGATTTCAATGGAATGCATTATCATCGTCTTGTGGGGCACCACTGTATTTTAAATGGAATGACCAGGACTGAGAGAAAGGGTTAGAGCAAGTATCGCTTGCGTACCAGACACAAGGAAGATAAAAATGAAGTGAGGGGCGTTATGTTTTGGAAGGCTGGCTTTTTAACCAGTGTGTTAACCTTCGTCTCTTAGTTTTTAAGTCTGTTACAGGACTCCCACACCTGCAACTGACATGGTCACAAAGTTACACTGTTAAGGCAATCTACATGGCCAAAAAAGAGATCCATTCATTTCTATAAATTTTCTTCTGTGAATGAAAGGACTTCTTTTATTTTTGGAGCAGAACTGGTGGATTTCAGCTGTATTTACAGAATAAGAAAACTATTTTTGATAAAATCAAATTACCAAGCGAGCAGTACAGTTATGATCTAAAACAGTGATGTGACCCCACTATAAATAAGGAAGGTCTGCATAATGTTAGTTCAAATGTACCTTCTGAAACAAAATTATATATTCTGAGAAACAAAAACAAAATAAAAATTAATGTATTATTCCAACTTTGAGATCAGGACACATTTATCTTGGTTTTAAAAGTTTAAACCAAAAGGGAGCTTTAAAAATCAAATATGAATAAAATCAAATACAAATGGATTCTGGTGGCCATACCTCTAGGCTGAACACTCAGATGCACAGCAACCCTTTGAGATCCCACAATGTTGACAGCTTGACATTCATATTGGCCTTGATCATGTAAAGCCACTCTGGAAATCCTCAAAGTCCCAGTTGACAAGACTAAGTGCCTTCTATCTACAGAAAGCTGGCTTCCTGAAATGTGCCAAATGCAAACAATGAAACAATGCACCATATAGACAAAAGCTTTATTAGAATAGTCCAATGAAATCACTACTATTTCAAAGTAATCAGTGCAATGGAGTGAGCTTCTGAATGCAAGTGCAAACAATAGCATTTGCATATTTAAGTTCTTCCAATTGTTTATTCTGCAGCTGCTGCGGACAAACCGACTGGAAGAAATCTACAAATTATTAGAACTGGTGTGCCTGCAATTGTCTTTACAATATTCTTAACATCATAACTTGAGAGTCAGAATCACTAAATGGAACCACCCAAATAATGTTTTCATCAAATCATTATGAATATATAAAATCATTTATTTTAAAAGTATATATGTTTTCCTCATGTTGTCATTATTTCTGTTCTATAAATGATGTTTAATTAGTGTCACAGTCTAAATTACAACTGAAAATACAGCTCATAGGATAATGCACACCATTAAGTGTTAGTAGCTATGAGAAAGAACTAGACACAAACTGAACATTTTCATGCCGAGGTTCTTAAATTTAGTTCAGAAACTCTCCAAGTTAAGCTAAAGACAGAAGCAAAGTGTGGAGCAAAAGGACAGCTTGGACAAGTTACCGTATTTTTCGCTCCATAAGACGCACCTTTCCATAAGATGCACCAATTTTTTAGGAGAAGAAAACAGGAAAATATAATCTGTTTTCTTTGCTCCATAAGACGCACAGACTTTCCACCCCCTGCTTTGTGGGAAAAAAGGGCGTCTTATGGTGCGAAAAATACGGTAATTTTTTCAAATACAACATTGAAAATCCTTTTATGTTGCAATCAAAGAATAACCTTTCCAACTCAGGAGCATAGGGAATCTGTGGAACAGTAATAGAATAGAGAGAATAAGGTATTTCTTAATAGCAATTGCATATCCAACAAAGTTCTCCAAAGCCAGATTCAGAAATGAACTTCAGGAGTTGTCTGAAGGCCACCTCCAATGAAGGATGACTTTTTAAAGCCTCTCCTTTCAGTTCTAGGTCAATTACTGACAGCAGCAACAAAAGTTAATGACATTAACACGAAGTAATGCAAGAGAAAATAAATACTTCTAAATTCTATGAGATTACACACAATATATCAATTAAAAGTTTCTATTTCAACATGTCACTTCAAAGATATACAATTCTGAAGGCATACAGATCATTCTGCTGTACTCTTACCGCCTTTAGTCCAGGCAATCACTGGTTGTGGATATCCCCGTGCTTCACAAGGGAAATCTACAGTCTGTCCTTCAATCACACTTCTGTCTTGAGGAGTCACAATAAATTGAGGCACAGCTATGTAGAAGAGGAATAAATAGTTCAAAACAAGTCAAGTGTATACTTTGCCATAAAATGACTTACTTTCATAGCTCACTGAACAATGGAATATCGTGCTTTAGATTACAGAACTTTTATTTACGTGGGGGTGTACACATGCAGGGAGTACCATAACAATAGCTCATAAAGGCCTCTAAGTACTACTGGGCTTCAAATAAATAAAAGCAATATCCAAAATAAGTTGTTCTTTAGAGATAGATCAATTACAAAGCATGTCCTCTAGATTCCAAACATCTTCTTGTTGTTTGTTTAAAAAAGGATGTATGTTGTATCGTTAAAAAACAGTGTGATCACCATTAGCTTGAAAGTAGCTAATAACACACAAGGTACATTTAGAGAGGAGTAGAAATAAATGACATGTGGGTGAATTGCCAAGTTGACAACAGGATATAAATGCTGGCACAAGGTATTTGGCTTTCTAAACACTGGTTGATGAATACATAACTAAACATGTGAGCAAACTGTTGGTTGCCATGGTCTGGGCTATCATGGAGGATTAATTAAGAGCTGTGTCTTCATATATGAAAAAATGGCTAATATGGAAAATATTCATGTACCAAGAGTCTATGAAACTGCATAAATATGAAATAGTGTAGCAGTGGTACAGTAAACAAAAGTAATTGGTAATAATATTTTAGTTCCTTATTTAATGCCGGATTTTGCAAATTGTCTATAGTAAAATTACATGTTGTTATAGCAGTGCTCTGTAAGGACTCTTATGGCACAGTGGTTAAAACTGTTTAGTACTGTGAACTCTGTTCACAACTTGAGTTTGATCCCAAGCTGGCTCGAGGCTGACTCAATCTTTCATCCTTCCGAGATTGGTAAATTGAGTACTGTACCCAACCTGCTGGGTGGCGTAGGGCTGGGCAATGTGCAGCCTACATAATTTAACTGTAAATCACCCAGAGACAGCTTTAAGCAATTTGGGGTGGTACATAAGTAGCAAATTTTGATTTTTTGCTTTACTCTTATTAGAAATGAATCTTCACTTCTGTTGGGAGCAAGATGCTACTGTAATGCTTTAAAATGTTGGGATAGACCAGATGCAGATACACACATCTGGCTTGGTAGAAGCAGAGTCTCTTAAACCTTCCAGCAGCCCTCCCCACTCCCAAGACTCAGTGAAGCCTGCTGTAGCCTTAAGGAGGCAGTGAAGCTTGCTGGATAGGAGGAAAGGGTGAAACCTAAAGGTTCTGATAAAGACACACTGATAGACCTCTTTCACCCACAAAAAGCAGATTCAAGATTCTACCCATTATAGGACTTACAGCCTATGAAAACACAGATATCCTTGTTAAATGATATGCACCTTGTACTATGATGAAGGCAGTGGCGTGGATATTGTCTATGCTGTTGGTTGCGAAACATGTATACTCGCCACCATCTTCCTGATCCACATTTTGGATGTAAAGCCCTCCTGATGGAGTTATTGTGATGCGAGGATCATTTGGCAGAGGAGTTCTATCACCTTTAGTCCAGGTGATACGAGGCTGGGGATGACCAGTTGCACTACATTCCAGAGTGACACTTTCTCCAACTAGTACCTCTGTATTTTGAGGGTGAATCACAAAACTTGGCCTAGCTGTTAAAGATGCAAAATATTTAAATTAGCATTCCCTACATATACCTGAGTTTTGAACAACAACAATAATTAATTAATTAATTAATTAAACTTATATGCCGCCCACTCTACCCAAAGGTCGCTTGTCCTAAACTTCTGTGTTGATGGGCAATATTGTTTACCAGTGCTCAGTGTCAAAAATGCAACAAAACAAAAAATGTCTCAGCTCCGTGGTTCCCAGCCTTGGGCCTCCAGATGTCCTTGGACTACAGCTCCCAGAAATCCTGGCCGGCACAGCTAGTGGTAAAGGCTTCTGAGAGTTTTCGTCCAAGAACATCTGGGGACCCACAGTTGGGAACCACTGTCCTAGCTCATACTGTACTGAATTCAGTTTTCTGACAGAGAGTGATAACATCCAGTATTCTCTCAATGGTAAAAAGGACTTCCAGGTTAGTTGTGAGAATATTTACAGTAACAAAACTTAGCAGGCTATTTTCAACAGTCTAACCATATTGGGCACTCTATAGTTAAAATAAATTAAGCAAATGCTATTGTAATTACTACTTGAGTACTTTCTTAATTGAGTAAGAAGCACAGAATTAAAATGAGCATGTTCCAAACCTTTGGCATTCAAATAAATCCACCCACCTGGTGAACCAAAGTAGCGTAGAGTAACTTCTTGAGTTTTCACTTCTCCTGCTACATTTTTTGCCATGCACTGGTAAATACCTTGGTCTGCCTCCTGAGTATTCTCAATCATTAGTGTGCCATCATCAAGCAAATTCAGACGAGAATCAGCCTTCATACTGAGCTCATTACTACAGGAAAAGAAATCTGTAGCATTATAACTTTGAAATCACAAATGCATGCAAGCATACAAAAGCAATGAACAGGAAAACAATAGTTTTGTTCCATATGTGTTTGTACATGCACTTAATTACAGGTATCCAAAGCAATCTGCTGTTGCTCCAAAATCACTTCATATGAACTCTTCTTTTTAATACAAATAATTTTCTAATTTTCTAAAGCCATCTTACTTGTTTCGAAGCCAAATAATTTCTGGTTTGGGATTGCCTTCAGCTCTGCAAGTGAAGTATACGGTATTCCCTGAGGTAACGTCTACATCCTGAGGCTCTGATGTAATTCTTGGCCGTTCTGTATCATCAACAAAGCATTTTAAAATTAAAAAAATCTCTGTACAAATATGTGATTTTAAAGGTAAAATGTTTATAGTTCAGCTCTTTAATGTTGTTGTTTAGTTGTTAAGTCGTGTCCAACTCTTTATGATCCCATGGACCAGAGCACTCCAGGCCTTCCTGTCTTCCACTGCCTCCCAGAGTTTTGTCAAATTCATGTTGGTAGCTTCGATGACACTGTCCAACCATCTCATCCAGATGGTTCAACATCACAGTAAAGTTTATGCACCAACCACCGATGTTGAAGAGGCTGAAACTGACCAATTCTATGAAGACTCTTTAATAACATACTACAAAAGATCACTTCGCACTGTTGTAATTTGAAAAAATGCAAAAATAGGCCATTCACACTTATATAGCAGTATGCATAAGACCAATGATAATTTGATGCTGAAATTTAATAACTTAAAACAAAAAACCCATTATATTGCAAATACCCATTCAAGGATTGCTGCCTTGTGATGGCAAAGGGGCTTAAGTAGTTGACATACTACAAAAGATCACTTCGCACTGTTGTAATTTGAAAAAATGCAAAAATAGGCCATTCACACTTATATAGCAGTATGCATAAGACCAATGATAATTTGATGCTGAAATTTAATAACTTAAAACAAAAAACCCATTATATTGCAAATACCCATTCAAGGATTGCTGCCTTGTCATGGCAAAGGGGCTTAAGTAGTTCAGAGAAGCTATGGGTTATGCCGTGTAGGGACACCCAAGATGGACAGGTCATAGTGGAGAGTTCTCACTAAACGCGATCCACCTGGAACAGGAACTGGCAAGCCACTCCAGTACCTTTGCCAGGAAAACCCCATGGACAGGAAAAAAAAAGGCTAAAAGATATGACGCTAGAAGATGAATCCCTCAGTTGAAAGGCATCCAACATGCTACTGAGAAAGAGTGGAGGACAAGTATAAGTAGCTCCAGAGCTAATGAAGTGGTTGGGCCAAAGCCGAAAGGACGTTCAGCTGCAGACGCGCCTGGAAGTGAAAGGAAAGTCCGATGCTGCAAAGAAAAATACTGCATAAGAACCTGGAATGTAAGATCTATGAACCTTGGTAAGTTGGATGTGGTCAAACAGGAGATGGCAAGAATCAACATTGACATCCTGGGTGTCAATGAACTAAAACGGATGGGAACTTGACATCCTGGGTGTCAATGAACTAAAACAGACGGGAATGGGAAAATTCAATTCAGACAATTATCATATCTACTATTATGGGCAATTTTTGCCTTCTGAGGCATTTTTCCCTTCCGAGGCTTGCCGAAGGCTGGAGGAAGAGGCGGGAACTTTAAAAATGGTTTCGGACAAACCTCTGCAAACGCCGATTGCTGTGCAGAGTGACCCACACGAGTCCTCCCATGGTGCAAGGTAAGCCCCGGAGGACCCCCAAAGCTGGGGCGCGTGGTTTTGGGGCACCCCTGCCAGGGTTCTGATGGCTTCCCCTGCACCATCAGAGCCCTGGCGGGGGTGCCCCGAAACCACCCGCGCCCGCTTTAGAGCACTCCAAAGTGGTCTAAAGCGGGGTGCGGGTGGTCGTACAGCGAAAAAGCGATTGCAAAAAAAACCCATCGTAAAATGATTTCGGCGTCAAGTGGCGTAACCGTCTAGTGAGGCACCACTGTATTAAAGGAACATTTTGTGCAAAGATGGACATGATAAAGGACAAAAATGGTAGGTACCTAACAGAAGCAGAAGACATCAAGAAGAGGTGGCAAGAATACACAGAGGAATTATATCAGAAAGTTCTGGATGTCCTAGACAACTCAGATAGTGTGGTTTCCAACCTTGAGCCATCCTGGAGAGTGAAGACAAGTGGGCCTTAGAAAGCATGGCTAACAACAAGCCCAGTGGAGGTAATGGCATTGCAGTGGAACTATTTAAAATCTTAAAAGATGATGCTGTTAAGGTGCTACACTCAATATGCCAGCAAGTTTGGAAAACTCAGCAGTGGACAGAGGATTGGAAAAAATCAGTCTACATCCCAATCCCAAAGAAGGGCAGTATCGTGATCCCCTCTGAAGTCCCTATCCCGCCCCCCCAGGCCTTCACGAGGTTCTCGCTATTCTTTCTTCTTCGCTGCCACCAGATACTAATGCTCTAATATCAATTCAGTATTGAGACTTGTGTGCTATCAAAACATAAGTCTTTATTTAACCAGGGAAGTTGATAATCAATTAGTACTCATGGGGTAAATTACAGATTGCAAATCACTTATATTTGAATCAGTTAGGATATTACTTCAAAACTCATTTAACCCTCTGCTTCAATCTACTCCCTTACAGTTCTAGTACTCACTCTTCTATCACTTTTAAGCCACACACAATCCCTCTCGCTCTCAGACTCCATCCACCAGTCTTTTATCCTGCTCTCTCCCCCCTGGCTCCACCTTCCATTCACTCATTGGTTCCTGCATCAATGAACTGCGGTGACGGCAGGTGAGGTCAGGGCTATTCACTACAGGCAGTGGCAAAGAATGCTCCACCTACCATACAATTGCACTCATTTCACACGCTAGCAAGGTTATGTTCAAAATCCTACAAGGTAGGCTTCAGCAGTATGTGGAGCGAGAACTCCCAGAAGTACCAGCTGGATTTCAAAGGGGCAGAGGAACTAGAGACCAAATTGTTAACGTGTGCTAGATTATGGAGAGAGCCACAGAGTTATAGGAAAACATCTAGTTCTGCTTCATTGACTATGCAGACGCCTTTGACTGCATGGATCACAACAAACTATGGCAAGTTCTTAAAGAAATGGGAGTACCTGACCACCTTATCTATCTCCTGAGAAATCTATATGTGGGACAGGAAGGAACAGTTAGAATTGGATATGGAACAACTGATTGGTTCCAAATTGGGAAAGGAGTACGAGGCTGTATATTGTCCCACGGCTTATTTAACTTATATGCAGAATACATCATGCAAAAGGCTGAACTGGATGAATCCCAAGCCGGAATTAACATTGCCGGAATAAATATCAACAACCTCAGGTATGCAGATGATACCACTATGATGGCAGAAAGTGAGGAGGAATTAAAGAACTTCGTAATGAGAGTGAAAGAGGAGAGCACAAAATATGGTCTGAAGTTCAATATAAAAAAAAACCCTAACAACATGGCCACTTGTCCCATCACGTCCTAGCAAATGGATGGGGAAGATATGGAGGCAGTAACAGATTTTACTTTCCTGGGCTCCATGATCACTGCAGATGGTGATAGCAGCCACGAAATGAAAAGACACTTGCTTCTTCGAGCCACGCAATTAAAAGACACCTGCTTCTTTGAAGGTTGACAAACCCAGACAGCATCTTAAAAAGCAGAGACATCACCTTGCTGACAAAAGTCCACATAGTTAAAGCTATGGTTTTTCCAGTAGCGATGTATGGAAGTGAGAGCTGGACCATAAAAAGGCTGACAGCCGAAGAATTGATGCTTTTGAATTGTGGTGCTGGAGGAGACTCTTGGGAGTCCCCTGGATTGCAAAGAGAACAAACCTATCCGTTCTGAAGGAAATCAACCCTGAGTGCTCACTGGAAGGACAGATCCTGAAGCTGAGGCTCCAATAGTTTGGCCATCTCATGAGAAGAGAAGACTCCCTGGAAGAGACCCTGATGTTGGGAAAGTGTGATGGCAAGAGGAGAAGGGGACGACCGAGGATGAGATGTTTGGACAGTGTCACCAAAGCTACTAACATGAATCTGACCAAACTCTGGGAGCCAGTGGAAGACAGGACGGCCTGGCATGCTCTGGTCCATGTGGTCACAAAGAGTCAGACATAACTTAACAACTAAAAAACAACAAAAGTGCAAATAAGTGTATAACATAGTACAGTTCTCCCATACAACTATACCAGCTAAAAATATAAACAATGGCTGAACTCTTGCTTAGTGTAGTCAGTCACACTAGAGTAGACCCACTGAATCAGTGAGGATCTGGTGCATCCTGCCTAAGTTCCATTCATTCAAATGAGCCTTTAACATAGCAAATCACAACTAGAGTAGGCCCACTTGAATCAATGGAACTTATACAAATATTGACTCACCAAATCCACACGGATTCAGTGGGTCTACTCTGGCTGTATCTTACTACTGGATTTCAGCCAATGTGTACTCTATGGATGGCTATCTGGATTCCAACCAGGGAATCACATATTTAAATTGTCTCCTATCAAAACTTTCTGCACTTGGGAAACTTTTGGCCCTCCAGTGATTGGTGGATTCCAATTCCCAAAATCTCCTGTCAGGAAAAAAGAGACTAGAAGCCATAGTCCAGAAGCATCTTGAGTGTCACAGCGTTGTTACGCTGGTCCACACCATCTATGCAGGCCCCCATTGTCAATATTATACCAGCATTCTGTAAAACGTATTTTTTTAAAAACAAAACTGCAGCCATGTTTTGGTTGTGCCAGAAGTTTAACCGTCCCCACCACCTGCCCAGGTTCTGCAATTCAAAGCAGGAAGCAAAAAGTTTATTCAGCCGCTGGTTTTGTTTTGGGGAAGCACAATTTGTGCAAGTCAAGCTCAGAGAATATTTCATTTTGACTTAATTTCGCAATGTATGGAAAGGTCTAACAAAATGTCTGTATTATCTTTTTATTGCAAATTAAATAAGGAATTCTCAAACATTTGAAGTCACATTAGATAATTTTAAAAGAACATTTTAAAAGACATTGTTGCAATAGAAGAAAAAAATGCAGAAGCAAAGTCAAAAGTAAAAGAAAAAGAGGGGAAAAAACTTCCTAGAAACTAGTTAAATGCTTCATCATTAATACTAAGGATAATCGAGCAGGGTGTTTCCCGTGAAACTATACATGAAACACTGAAGGAAAAGATGGATGGAGGCAGGTTTACACCTATAAAAATATCTCACCACAGTTGAGCTCTTCAGGTGTTATTGTGGCCACCGATCTCCCCTGGATCCTCCTTGGATATTCACAGGTAGCCGCAGCTTGTGCATTGCCAGACTCCGCATACGTTTTCAATAAGTCTGCCAGCCACAATATTTCACAGTCACAGTGAAGTGCATTTGAATCCAGACGCCTGGACAAAAGAAGATGCTATTGTTGCATATATTAATGAGACTAAAGAGTTTCTGAGATTGCCGTGAATAAAAAGAATTACAGCTCTCCGTGAGATACCGTAAAATTATTCAGAATGCAAATGTGGAAACAAGAAAGTTAGGAAATACTAAATTTATAAGTGCTAGACAAAAGTGAACTGGGATCCTTCTGTCATGACTTCTGCACTCAGTAAAGCAGTCTTTGGCTTTCACACAACATATACACCCAGAAGCAGTGCCGTCAGATGAGCTGAGAGAGGGCCGATCTTTGGTCCCCTTCTTCCGTGTCCTCCCCATAACATGTTCTGGCTGCTAGGAAACAAGTTGGAACTAGTTCTTGGGCTACACTAAGGTTCACAGGAAGGAGAAAACAAGTATTATGAATCAAGTAGCGTATTATTTTAAAAAGTATGGAGATCCATAGAATACAGAAGCTACTCTACATCCAATTTCAGTTCCTTGCTACCACCTAAGTAAAAGACAGGTTAGCCAAAGATGGAGCCAGCAATCACATGCAACAGAAAACCAGAACTGCAGAGATGGCAGACTAAAGGACAGGACAGACTGGGGTCACATTTGCAACCACTTTGTTTGTGCTAAGCAGGTTTGAATCTGATCAGGGAACACTAGGGAATCCATTTACAGAAGTTTGAGATCCAGCAGGGAAGGAAGATGATGTATAAATATATTAAATAAATAAATCTGTAACAAAGGTTCTGCTAAATTTGATTCACTTATTAAGAAGTAAGTGTCTCGTAAGACTTCTCCCCCTCATCTTAGTTTTCTTATGAATGATACAGAATTGTGCACAATTTACAGATAATAGCAAATAGTGCATTTTCTTGAACTTGTCCCAACATGTTAACGGCCCCACACGCACAGGCGGCCATATGCTTGACCTGGTATTCTCCACTGAGTGTAGTGAGCGTGGTCTGATGGTGACTGACCTCGTGTCAGTCCCCTTGTCATGGTCAGACCATCACCTGATAAAATGTAACCTCGCAATGGAGCTCCCCCCCTGCAGGGAGCAGGGACCTATTTTAATGGTCCGCCCTCGAAGGTTACTGGATCCTATGAGATTCCAGGATACCATGAGAGGGATTCCAGTGGCACTGTCTGGCGCTCCTGTCGATGCTCTGGTAGATGGCTGGTTCTCCGCCGCTACTAGGGCTGTTGACACGATCGCACCCAAACGCCCTCTCAGGAGGAGAGCTCAGCCAGGACCCTGGTATACCCAGGATCTACGAGCAATGAAGCAAATAAGGAGACAGCTAGAGTGCGTATGGAGAAGGAAACCGACGGATTACAACAAAATTGCTGTCAGGATCGCAACTAACCGTTA